GGGGGGGGGTAGAAATTGATTTCTAAGCTCCGATTGATTTCTATTTTCATCAATGTAGCAGTTTATTTACTTCTCACTTTCGTCTCTTTTGTTTCGTGAGTTCTGGTATTGATTTCGTTTCTTTGACCTTTGATTGAGTTTTCTCTCTTTCGTTTTCAAGCTCAATCTTCTGAATTTTCGATTCATATCATGGCTTCTAGTAATCAATCCTCACAGTTCTTAGATTAATATGAGAATCACTATTTCTTGCGTAGCTCTGATCATGCTGGCTTAGTTCTCTTCTTCATTCACCTTTCTTCTGGTGCGGAGTTCCATCCTTGTCGTCAATCTGTTCGAATGCCGTTAAATGTACAAAATAAACCGGGCTTCATTGACGCTATTATTGCTAAACCCCCTGATAATTATAAGGATGCTGGTTCTTGGAGTCGATGCAATGATATGGTTGCTACTTGGATCATAAAATCGGTGTCAAAGAAAATTGCTCAGAGTCTATTATTCATGTCTACGGCGGAATCTATATGGAAGAACTTAATGTCTAAGTTCAAGCAAGATGACGATCCTCGTGTTTACAAACTTGAACAGAGACTCAGTAGCATAACTCAGAGTTCAATGGATGTTACTACGTATTATATTGAGTTGATAACATTGTGGGAAGAGTTTAAGAACTTTGTTGAGCTTCCGGTTTACACTTGTGGCAAGTGTGAATGTAATGCTGCTCAACTATGGGAACATTTACAGCAGAGGGGTGGAGTTACTAAGTTTCTGATGGGGCTGAAGGAGTCGTTTAAGAATAGCAAAAGACATATATAGATTTTGAAACCATTACCCTCAATTGGAGATGCTTTCAACATGATCACCCAAGATGAGAGACAAAGGTCTATCAAGCCTTCTTCCAAGACTGAGAATGTGGTGTTTCAAACAATTGGTTCTCTTGAATCATCTCTCCATGGTGACTGTAGGTCCTAAAATTCACACTCAGTATTTTGTAGTGATCGAGAGTTCAATCAGAGGAAGACAAATGATGTGGGCAACGCTTCTCTTAAACACAACGATACAATCGGAAATCGGTTTACAAAAATGGACTTTTATTGAATATGGAATTCGTTTACAAGGTGATGAACAAAATTGAAAAAAACAATGAAAAGTAGAAGTAATAAGCGAACTAGAAATCTGTGGAAGGAGGTCGATGTGATTAGTAAATACCTCTAGGCTTTTCGTGTGTGTTTCAATCCATTATAGGTCCTTTTTATAGCCCTCTCCTCTTCTAACCTCTTCCGCGATCTCCGGGATATCATCTTGACCTCGTAGAGTCCGGTCGATGTCGAGCTCGTGACTGATCTCGGATGGGTTTGGGACTAGTTAACTTAGGTGCCAAAATTGGGTCCAATATTTGTCCCCCAATATTTTTCTTTTGTTAAAAGATTAAGATGGCTTATTCGGACTCAATCGACGAGAAACAGTTTAGTTTCTGCGGCGGCAGAATCCGACACGTGTCTTCTCCCTATCGACGGACCGTTGGTGTGCGTCTCCAATGACTACTTGTGCCATTTTCAAGGCGAAACCTAATCATTATCTCCTCGTTTAATGAGAACCGTTTGGTGTAGGTGAGTTGCCTTATAAATATTGGAAATCTTTCCTTCTTCTCCTAACTCTTTCTTTTTCTTCCAAATTTCTTGCTTTGTGAGATTTTCGATTCTCTTTAAGCAAAGATGGATACATCGTTCACTTTTCCTCTTCCAATGACCACGGCTGATGATCTTGAGGCTTTATACTCGTCTTGTGGTGTCGATCGTAGCGTCAACCTCGAACTAGCTAATAGTCTTGAGACCCCCGAAACCGTTCGCGAGGGGTTTTACGGAGCGTATCTCTCATTGTTCGAGTCTCGCAGTCTTTTCTTCCTGATTCCTGGCCCAATCCTTGAAATTGTGGCCAAATTAGGTATATCTCTCACTCAGATGTGCCCAAAATTCTTGAGGCATCTCTTGGCACTCGTGGTTAGGGCTCCAGAAGAGGGTTTGCGTTTCGGTTTAGAGGAGCTATGCCTCTTGTACTTGTTGAAGAGGAACAATCAGAGTCCACGGACTTTTCTTATGTTGCCGTGTGTAGGACGCCATGTTATCCAAGGGGTTACATACTGTGATCAAGATTGGCAAGAGAAGTTCTTCGTCTTCAAGGTCGATCATTCGTCAATGGGTGATTTCAACTTCGTGAGGATTACTCTCCGATGTCGAACGAGATCCGAGGTCTGTTGAGGACATTACAGCGAGATCGCCTGGGTCGTATTTTGATGGCGAACGAATCCGCGCCGCCTTCTTGCTGCCTGACGAGATCGATCAAGCTCCGGGTATTACCAGCCGCTTGATCAGACTCAAGGATGTCGTGGGATCTTCTAACAATCCTCCTTCTTCCGCCAGGTCGGATAAGCAATTGTTAGGAGGTCATCGTTCAGGAACCGGAGTCGCGTCGTGGGGGAACAAAGACCTTGTGGATTCGACTTTAATCCCAATTCTTGTTTCCAATGTCGAGGGGACTTCTGGAGCAGGAGGATCCCCGATCTCCCTGAGTCCTGGTTCACACAAGGACTCTGCTTCTAATGACCGCAATAGTCGACGATTGTCTCTTCGAAGTCGCAATACGTCGGCTCTGTGTCCTTCTGTTCTTCCTCCGGCTTCTCTTGAAGAAGGGAGGCGTATGCCAAGATTGTGGATGCCAATTCCAAGGTTAGTTATAATATTTCTCGTCGCATTCTTAGTGAATTAATCTCGTTTTGACGTTCTTGATGCTTTGTAGGTTATGGTCGCCGTCGACGAGTTCGTAGCAATGTTCGAGACATCGTAGGTATGGTCCTGAGAAGGATATTTGGTACAATTTCCCTTCGGTGATGCAGTATCTTGCTGCTTGTCTCTTTATCTTTGACTTTCGCTTCGGTCCTCGAGGAGGAGGTCGCATGTAAGATAGTGGACTATGGGGGGTCATCCAGGTTTCTCCGTCGATGATGGAGATTTCCTTGGGATCCCCCTCTCTTTCTGTCGCCGGCCACTGGAGTACCAGCAGGGGAATGCTCAGCTGGCTAGTGGTTTCTAGGGCGGACCACATATTAGCCAGGGCGTCGACTTGCGTATTTTGTTCTCTAGGTGTTATGGTATTTTTGTGTAGAGTCGTTTTAGTACTACAGAACACAAGAAGGTTCGAGTTAAGATGGAGAGAACCGAGTATGTTTATGAGAGGTAAGAAGAAAACAGAGGAACAAGACAGCAAACAATAGAGAAGGAGGCGTATTATTAGGTATTTCGAATGGGGGCTACAGTGTTGGTGTATGAACCCTAATTCTAGCCGCCTAGATCTAGTCTCTCAATCTCTAAGTGTCGATCCCTTATTATAGGGTTTGGGTTCCCCTTATATAGATGTAGATGTCGGCTTGCATTAGGTTAAACTCTTCCATATTGGCGAATATGGGAGAGTTTCCATGTATGGAGAACTTCCATTTTACTCAAGGGTCGGTTTTGGAACAGGGGTCGGGCCCGGGGAACCTGAAGGTAGGGTCCGGGCCCTGGGTCCCTTTGGAGCCGGGGTCTAGAGGCCGGTGCCCAGCCCGGGGGCTGGAGAAATCTGGTGCTTGCCCCTTATTCCTTGATTTCACTGATGGAATCAAGGGATAAAGTGTGTATAGGTGGACCAGGATCGCTTTATCTCAGCAGATTCCCCTTAGGTAAGACATCGCTCTGAGACGCCTTATCCTCCAGGTCTTCGTGTAGGCCGGATCCGTGTTTGGAGCCTGGAGTAAGTCGAGCTTCCCTTGGTAAAGTGGTGTTATGTAGGCATCTTCGGGGCCGCAGCCTCTTGGGATTGATGATGCAGGGTTGCGCTTTGGTGTGCCTGAGAAAACCTTAGCCGTCGGCGTTGGATTTTGGGAATATCTGCTTTCCGTTTTTGAATTAGCGCCCATATCATACCTGTTTTCCCGAATCTTCGGGAGGCGGGATTCTTCGTTTTGAATTTTTGAAAGTTGGATCTTACTCGAGATTCGAGGGTAGCTGCTTCCTGAGGAAGATATCGTTTGCGATGTCTTTAAATGCTTCTCCATTTCTTTGAGGAAGATCTTCATAAGACTTAATCGCATTTTTGGTCTTCTTAAGTCGAGGATCTCTTTTTGCTTGTGGGGTTTTTTTGTCATGTCAAAACGCTCTGGTTCCTTGGTTCCCCTGACGGCTGAAAAGTTGAGCTCGAAGAGAAGGATGGACTCTCCGATATCTGGAGCGGACAGCGCTTCAGATCCTTACAATGAGTCTAAGCTCGGGGACTTGGCTCCGGCTCCCTTAACGTATGTCTCACCGCCTTTTTTGGAGGTGGGTCCATTGTCGTCAGTGAAGGAGGATGATGTAATCCAGTGGCGAAAAGATTATCAGCTCTCTTCCTCCGTCGTCCTTCACGTCCCTGGTTCGTCTGAGCGTGCTTCTACGGGCAGGCCAGAGGAGATTGCGGTTTACGAGGCCTTCTTTGAGTCTGGTTTCCGAGATAATATTCCGTCGTTGATTACGAATCTCTGTGATTTCTTTCGGATTTCTCCTTCCCAGCTGATTCCTCCTTATTGCCATTCAAAATTTGAGTAACGTGGAGTGCCTTCCTCTGGGCGTCGAAGAGGTGCTGTTTGCTTATCATCTTGCTCCGCTGAATGGAGGGGAAGGTCGCTTTCACCTTCGGCCTCGTAGTGGCCTTCCTATTGTCGAGGAACTTCTGAAGAATGATTGCAAGGGTTTGTCCTTCGTGAACAGGTGGCCAGAGAGATACGTGTTCATGACTCTTCTCGGTTCTCACTATCTGTGGAACCTTGTAGGTAATAAGAGTTAACATTTTTGAGCG